TTTCCCCCTCCGGCTGTGGCTGGAGGCGGTGGGGGAGCTGGCGCCGGTCTGGCCCTAGGGCAGCATCGCGCTGCTCCTGGAGCCGCTGCTGCCAAGCCCAGCTGCTCGTCTGGGAGAGGAATAAAGTTACTTCTCGTTGAGGACTGGGTCATTTCCCTGCCCGTGCTGGGCACGTCTCGCTGCTCCTTGGAGCCTCGGCTGCAGGAAAAGCAGAGCGGAGAGGTTAGTGGATGCGATCGAGGTGAGCCAGGCTGGTCCCTCCCTCTCCCCGCTGCAGCAGGGCTTGGACAGCAAAACCAGCCCCGCTAACCTGTATGTCACCTTGCACCCATCACCTCTTCTGGCTGGGGAAGCCAAACGGGGAGGAAGAGGTGCAGGGAGGGCCTGGTAGCACAAAGCGCGCTCAGTCCAAATGCCAAATCCTCCCGCTGCCCCGGGATTGCAGAGCGCATCCAGGCATGCCAGGACTGAGGTCCCAGAGCTCCGTCCCCCAGGAACAAGCTTGGACCCCACCAACCTACTGCTCTTTAATCAAGAGCAGAAGCAACACCGGTTCGGCTCGCACCCCTCCAAAACCGAGGGAGACGAGCACAGCGATGCCCACACAGCGAATGCGAGGTCAAAGCACAAAGAGCAGCTCCTTGGGATTTACGACTTTATTGCATCGAAATATTTACTGTGGTTACGATACAAGAAATAGGGAACTGTCCAAGCAGAATACTGCACGCTGCTCCCCCGTCCCTCCCCACAGGCATGGGAAGGCGCTCTGCTTTTACCTTCAGTAATGGAGCAGTTAAAAAAAAAAAAAAAAGGTGCCAAAAATTGCTACATGTGATACCTCTCCACTCTCCGGCCTGGCCTTGCCTTGCGCAACACCCATGTGCCTCGTGCTGCAGAAATCAGGAGATGCGCGTGGCAGCAGGGACATGGCATAGCCTGGCCAGCCCCCGCTTAGGCAGGACGCTCACAAAGCAGCAGGTACAATGCTATAAAGGTTACAAACTAAAGTATACATTTAAATACATAAATAATTTGTGCAATGGGTGAAGTGTTATCCCCGGTGGAGACAACACAACCTTCATTTAGTCCTCACATAGATACAGAAACAGGGAATTCTTTGGAGTTTTATATGTACAAAAAAGCTGCAACTGAAAATATAGATAATCTATTTGTTCTCTGTACAGGTCTGTATTGGAAATAGTTAAAAGGAGGAAAACAAATCTACATTAAAAAAAACAAACAAACCATCATAATTACAATTGAGACAGCACCAAGCCCAACGTCACTAGAAAGGGACGGGCAGAAGGCAACAGCGTGGCCAGGGTACTTGTAATGTCTTCTCCAGAGCCCCTCATGGCTCTGTCTCGGTCACTAACCCTCCCCAAATCCACAAAACGGCAAGTTCCGGCAGGAGCCATAGGTGAAACTGCAGCCGGGGACATGGCTGATCGTACAGGGCTGGGGGTGGTTTCCTTCCTGGGTCACTCACCCAACGAGCACGTGACCCATCTCCTCGCACACAGCCCTGCTCAGGTCTGCTCTCTCCCCCACCACCTTGTTCCTTTAAAAATAACGAGTAATTTACAGTCAGGGCTTGGGAAGCAAGTTTTGCAGGAAGGTCATACCTTCCCCCCTCTAAGCACAGACAATGCAAGCGTCTGTCAGGAGTGACACTGGTAGAGATCCTGCTTCGGGGCAGGGCTCAGACTAGATCCGCAGTCCCTTTCGGGCCTCTGGCTCTTGGATTAGAGATGGATTTTGAGCTGAGAGGAAGCTGCCCCGTCAGCCTGGGCTCCTCACAGGGGCCTATCCGCTGTGGTCACGGCTTCGGCTGGCAAACATCCGCCCGCACCTCACGCCCTCGGGATCGAGGATCCTCGGAGCAGGGCTCAGTCGCAGCGTCCCTTTCGCAGCCAGTCGGTTCGTTCAGCCCTGAGCGGGTTGGCACCGCGATGTAGCACACCAAGAGCATCACCGCAGTCTTACCTACCTCCTTCCCAGCCCTTCGCTGCCCCAGCACCAGGCTGGAGCTCCTTTTCCTTCCAGGGAAGGCTGGGGAATGAGGACAACCATCAAGGCAGGAACAGTCCCAAGACCCCAGATCCAGCCTCACCAGCAAGTGAGGGGCCACATGGGATTTGGTGCAGTTGGAGGAGGGAAGAGAGCAGGATGCACTGCCCTGCTTCTGGCCAGCAGGCACTGCTCCAGCGGAAAAGGGGGCAGGTGAATTATCATTATCAGTACTTGGATACCTGTAGCAGAATCCTACATCATATAAATGGTTTTAAAATACTTTAAAGTCAGGGGGTTTGCTTAACCCCTTGGAAAGAGGCACTCCCCAGCCCCCATCCCAGCGTGCTAAGGCGTGTGTGCATGCACACATACAGCTGCAGGACACATCCTTCTTAACATAGGTAGACTGGAAACCACCAGCCCAAGGCCTGGGGGGCCCTGGCTCCTCGGGGAAAAATGCCTCAATCAAGAGAGGAGAGACACAACTGAATGGTTAGCAGTCAGGTCCTTCCAATCCCAGACAGGGAAACCAGTCCTAAAGCAGCTCCTGGAAACCTGCCCTTGTCTCCCCTCCCTGGCAGAGGGACTAACAGCCACCAGCATGGGCTGGGTGTGGGGTTAGTCCAGCGAAATGATGTCTGGCCTGCAGCCCGGGAGTGCGGCGTTGCTACTTATTGTGCCGTTGTGTCCATGGCTCTCCCGCAGCGCGCTGGTGGAGACGATGCTGCTGATGCGGCTGCTGGCCGGGCTGACAGCACTGTGAGATCCTGCCATCACAGGGGCCAGGGGATTCATACTCATGAAGTGGCTAGACGTGCTTCTGTACTGCAAGAAATGGCTGAGCGTATCCTGCTCATCCAGGGAGGTGATCACGGAAGGGCTGTAATGCTGCGGAGCAAAGGAAAGCCCTGATCAGATCATGTATCCGAACCACCCTGGCCCCCAGTCCCACGCAACCTGTTCAGTGGTGCCTTTTGGAGGGGGGCACATATCCACATGGAGACGGCAGGTCTCTCGGGAACAACAACTGGTCTCCATGAGGAGGAGAGGTTGAACAGGAATTGTTCACAGAGCTCCGTGCTCCCCAAACCCTGGATAAATGTACCAGTTTACCAAGACTGACCCTGAACCATCAACATCCACTGCTCCCTGTCAGCTCAACCCAGGACAAGCTTGGGCTTCAGAGGTGAGAACGGCGCAGAAGAGACATGCAGCAGCAGCAAGAAAGCAAGCCCAGCACAGAGAAAGAAGAAGGAGCCTACAGTCACCACCCTGAAAGCCACATGATGTGCATGGATCTGTGCCCCAGCAGAGCTAGCAAGCCCTACACCGATGCACGACCAGATGCTGGACAGGACAAAGCAACTGTCAGCGACCACTGCATACCTCCGCTTTCTACCATTGCTCTCCTAAGCCAGAGTGCAGGTCTGTGTGGATTCAGCCTCAGAGAAGCAAAGTATTTCCACCTCTGAGCCCTAGGTGATTCTGATTTTGCAACAGTAAAGGCAGACTTAAGAAAGCAGACACTGTGAAGGAAGAGAGGTTCTCCAGGCAGACACCAAGCATCTCCCTGGGCTGCCAAGGTGATGCCTGTGGAACCACAAAGCTGGCACCCTCACCACTGTCCTACAACAGTGCTGGTAGAGGAAGAGGATGGAGGAAGAGGAAGGTTGGCTGCGTGAAGAGGGATGTATTTGCCAGACTGTAGGTTTGGCAGGGAGAAACAAAAAAACAAAACCAAAACCAAAAAACTTACCTGGTTTTCACTTTGAAGGAAGGAAAACAAATCCAGACCTAGAAAAATAAAAAGGGGAAAAATAAATCTCTTGATGGTAAATAAACCTCTGGCAGGAAAGGGAGCCAAACTGTGCTAACGTAGAGTCAAACAGATGGATTCAGGCTGCTTCCAAGCATTAGATACTGCAACATCATCAACTCCAACTCAATCACAAACTCCAGCTCTATTTCTACAATCCCTCTGTAACTCATCACATGGCCTCAGAAATGAAACAGCACGGGACAGGCTAAACTTTCCTTCTCTGACTCTGGAGATGCAGTGGAGCCTGGCACCAAAAGCAAGTTCCAGCAAAGCTCAGCAAACCACGAGGGGCTGCATCAGCACAGCCCTGACGAGGCTAGCGGTAACCACAACCTTTCAAACTACTCCTTAAAGCTGCATAAGGGCCCTGACCAAATTAACTCCATCAGACAGTAACTGCAAACATCAAACCAGGCAAGAGGGATGGGCAAACTGTACACAGGACTGGGAAGTAGTATCTCCAAGTCTCTGCTGCTGACCTGAAAGGTGGACTCTCTCTGGATAGCAGTTGCCTATCTGTAAAATTAGGCTTTTAATGCCTGCCTCCCTAGGTACAGTGAGGCATAAACAGCTCTTGTAAAACATATGAAGATCCCCAGACCAGGGCATTTTTTAGAACAGTTTTCTACTTTGCTCCAACTGGGAAGGGAGAATTTGCTACTCATATAGTCATGGACATGAGCTGCTCTTTCTTTCTTCAGGGTTCGGACATACAGCCTATATCACACCTTGCCAGCCAGGACAACAAGGGCCCACAAAAGTAAGTCACAGCCTTATTTCCTCGGTGGTCCTGGAACACACGAACCATTACCAGCCAAAACCTTGATTATTCTTACCTGTCATCTGTAGCTAACAACCAGATTTCAAGTTATTCTGTCAGTCAAGATCTCACCTGCAGGTCCCCAGAGAAATCTCTCCAGAGCCATGCCCTAGGAGTGAGGTACTCTAGTGTCCTTCTTCCTACTTCTGTGTTGGGCCAGTGAACTCTGCCATTCAAAAATACTTGCTCTGATCTGCAACGGCTACCAGGCCAAGAGAGGCTATGTGTTTGAGCAAACCAAGGGCCTCTATAGCTCAGTTCACACACAGCAGAAGAGAAGGCCAAGGCACTGGCTGTCACAGCCAACTTCTTAGTCTGGTAAACTGGTACAATTGTACATATTTGAAAACTGCTGCCAGAGGTCCTTGTTACCTTGAAGCTCGGCTGGCACCTGGTATGAAGGGTGGTAGTCAGGAATGGGGAGGTTGGAGAGATAGTCACTGCTAAGAGCTGCCATGGGAGGACTTCGAAGCACAGAAGACGGCTGGTGATCAATACTTAACACCCTGAAACAGAATAAAGATCTGATGAACTTCTAAAAGCAAAATGGCATGCTGAAGCCAAACTTCCTCAGTTGTTATGCTTTAAGAAACCAGCAAAAGAAACCGTGATACTACCATGCCCCTCCAGCAGAAACAACCCCTCCCAGTTCCCTCGTCATGCAGTCAGAGCTGTGTCACCTCGCCCTGGCCAGGTTCATGGGGGCAGGTTGGGGAAAGCAAAAACAGTGCTTTCCAGGGACAGATCAGAGGACCAAGCAGGCTCCAGGCTGGTTACTATGACAGCAGCAGTATATGAGGAAGGAAGGAAGCAAAGAGCAGGAAACAAAATGAAACAGAGCCCAGCAAGGGAGTGGGTTGAGTTCCTGTAGCGCCTTACCCCTTGGGCCCGGCTGCTGCCGGAAGAGCCATGCTGGAGATCGGGCACTGCTTCTTGGCAGGTGGCTCCTCCTCATCCGACGAGCTGTCCAGAGTGAGATCAATAACCTCCACTTTCTTTTTGCCCTCAGAGGAGCTCTTGCCCTCAGAGCTCACAGTGTAAAGGGAGCTGGCTGCAGAGGAAAGCGAGCAACAAGCTGCAGTTGGCCAAGACGGAAACAGGCAAAGCACCACCACCTGTACAAGCACTACAACCCCAGGATACACTGTCCAAGGACTTCCAAACAGCTTGTACCAAACCCAGTCCCAGAACAGAAGCATCATCCAGAAGAGAAGTACCATGCTCACACTAACAGACAGGCCTCCATTTCAATAGGCCACCTAGAATTAATGCGGCAGTTTCAGGAGAACCTGAATTTTTCTTTTTTTCTAGCGCACCCTGCACGGCAATCTGCTAAGTGCCTGTCACGCTCCTGGTATTTTAGTGTGATCCCAACTATTGGCTCCCAGGTGGGACCTGAAACACTTCAAAACCTCTCTGTAAAAGTTGCTTTGGCCAAACAAGACATCCAAAAAGGACTTGGTGACGGTAACTCCCATACCCTCGATCCCACTGAACGCAGATGTCTGGCACACCTCCTGGTTCTCCTTCTTCGGCTTCATGGGGCACCAGGAGCCATCCTCCATGAACTGTATCTCATCGCAGTCTGTGCAGGAGTTCAGGATTTCCATGAACAACCTGCCAGGTGAGAGAATAAGCTGAGGAGAGCAAACACTACAAGGACACACGCAAATATACATGGGCATGGACAGCAGAAATGACGCAGGACTGACGGGGATGGGTTAAAGGGGTACAGAGAATTACAGTTCTAAAATCCAGTGCATGCCAGTATCACCTGAAAGCCCAGCTTCATGATGGTCTATTCAATGTATGTAGCAGGGCTCTGTTCAAACCTCAGTAAGCAGGTTCCCTCATTACAGCCTCTACAGAGACTGCCAGCAAGGAAGCCAAGATTTTGACAAAGGCTTCTTGTTCTTTAGGGAAATCTCTCCAGATTGGCATCAAAGCAGTTTAGGGAATGAAAAACCAGATTTTAAGTTATTCAAGGCTGTAACTCATCTATATACGCCAGCATCAGAGGATTAGCCTTAAAAGAAAAACATTAACCAGGTTAAAGAACGTATACAGAAGCCTGCTCAGCTCACCCATCAATTATCAGGTTGTCATAGGGGGCTTTCTTATCACACACTGGACAAGTCCACGTGGGTTTCTTCTCATTCATTTGAAGGTAGAGGGCTGCATCAAAGCACTGGAGGTGGGTGCATGTAATGGCTCGGCAGGGCACAATCAGCCGCATCTTACCCAGCTAAGAGACAAGAAAGATGAAATGAACTCAATTCCGTACAAACCGCCTCTCGCGGCACAAAGTACAGCCAACGGTCACGTTTATTCCCTTTTCTCCCCCATCCAGCCCTCTGGTATGGTTAGCAATACATTATCCTAAACGTCAGTGGAGAATTTACATGCAAGAGAAAATGAAGCTTTCCTGAGGTTTTTTGTTTGTTTGTTTTTATAACTCACTTCCACCTCAAGTATATGCTGATGGTGAAGGTAAAAGACACTGAAGAGGTCAACAGAAGGCATATCAGCAAGGCAGTTTAGGCCAACAATCTCAGTTATTTTTTGAGCACGAGAGAAAGTGGTTCTGCTTTTATTTAGGAATCAAAGCTGACTTTTCAACAGAAACACAGCAGCAGCAGCATTAGCTCTGACCTGGCTCCAAAGTTTCCTAGGCAAAGATAAGGTAAGCAGGAATCCTGTCCGAGAAGAACGAACAAAAACGTAGAAACCTACTGGACACATGAGGGAAACTCGTAAGCTTGTTGTAGCTATCTCACTGTCAGGATCAGCTGTTAGTTTTTCCTTGACTGAAAGAAGAGGAGGGGAGAAAAGGTCTCCTGTTAACATCTTCCTTCTCTTACATGCATAAATATGTACAGATATAATTTATAGTTTGCATCATGACACTTATTATCCAAATTACAGACGTTTATGATAGCAGACATTATACATATATCCATACATGGGACTCAGCAGGTGTGCATGGACTTGCAACAAGGGATATGCACAGGGATCTGCACTGCTTTTACTTGCAAATTCAGACCTACCCTGTATTCACATATTCACCACAGGACTAAATCGTGAGCAGTTATGCATTCGCGAAAGGTACTTACTCAGGGCTCGTGAATGGTCTGGATTTCGGATGCCCTTGGCTCTTAGCTTCTGAAGCAGGGTTACCGAAGTGAGCTGCTTCACCAGGTAAACTGATAGAGAGTAGTTCTGTTGAAAAGAAGTTGATACTGTTCAGACTTGGAAGATGTACTAGAAGGGACAGGAGTCTCTTGGACTTGCATAGCTTGATGCTGCTGTAAAAATAACCCCAACCCTGTCTTGCAGACCTGAGGCTGCAATCAACTAATCATTACGGAAATATTTGGAGAAGACAACCTGACGTTCTCTCTGCTGTCACCACTGAACGCAGAACGGAGATGGCATGGAAACGGCTTTCACCAGGCACACGCATTGCACCTCACTCACCCTGCCGAACTCTGAGGACCAGTTCACTACAATCGTGTTCGGGACAGTCGCCGAAAGTCGCGCTAACGGAGTGATATTGACAGGGCGGCTCGGTCGTTTCGGCTCAGCACCATTTTTTGTAGGTGGCAGATAACCCTGCAAGAGAGAACGATTACCTGAAGCATAAAATAAATTCCCTCTGAGGGGTAAGGCCCTACAGGATAACCTATAAAGCCAATCTCTTCGTGGCACATTTGCACCTTAAGGCATTTCATGTCACACCCTAGAACCTTTTAAAAGGATTGGGAGGAGTTTCTTTAAAACCTCAACCTCAGAGAAGTACATGATAACTCCTCAAGAAATGAAGAGCAAAGGTTCCCTCTAAAATCCTTACGCTGACAAGTGCCCTGGAATCCCATCATAAGCTTAACCTCTCTGCAAACACACAACTGTCAGTACGAGATGTGTCGTTCACAAATGGCATCGTGTCAAAATCCAAATGCTAGCCAGGGTGGGAGGGCTAAAAAATTACATCCCAAGACAAATCTCACATTGATCTTATTTTGCTTCATTACAGCCACATTCCGACTCGATTAGAAACCTATCCCATTATTCAGCCCGAGAGCGCCTTTTCTGTAATTCAGAGAGATTTATACCACCTCCCTTTCAGCGCTGGTTTGTTCATCACCTTCAGCTACACTGGACAGCTTGACCTGAGACTCTGCTTCCACAGGCCATCCATTACTTTTAAACAGAAGTCAAACAAAAAAGGGTTCCCGCAGAGTTGGTTTGGTGTGCACAGCCCATAGGAACAGCTTCTCAGCCGCAAATGACTCATCCAACTGAATGCAAAAAAGCCTTATCTCAGAGCATAAGCTGGGGGGAAACCTTTTAGCCACTGAGCATCTCGCAGACTCGCATAGACTTCCCCCTTTCCACCCCACAAGGCCGGAAATGAACTCTGTTTTTTAGTAGGCTCCTAATCGTCTCTGCCAAAAACGGACAGAATGTTTGAGGCAAAAATTCAAAATATTAAGGGAGTGGCCCAGGCAGAGCAAGAGATGCTGTTCTGCAGGTTTGATTGCAAAGCGCGCTAGCTATGACGGAGCAAAGCCAGCGTGGGCCAGCCGACAGGGAACTGGACTATGACTGTCAAGCCTCTAATATTCTTCCTTGGTGTGACACTGACTGACACTAGGCAAGCTGCTTCCTCTTCTAGACTGTAAACTCTCTGGGGCAAGGACTACTTATTATATTTTTATGCATTACCCAGCACAAAGGATCCCAACCTTGACTGGAGCATCTAGGTCCTCCTGTAATACAATAAACTAAAGGTAGTGCCATTATTCCACTAATCTTAGATTTTGCTCTGTATTTTTATTATCAAGCTTCTTGTAAACAGAGGTATGCCAAAAAACTAGAGGGATTCTGCTGGTTAAAAGTCAGATGCAAAAGTTTGCATGTTCCTCTACTTAAGCACCACTCTGCTCAAGTCAAAGAGCAGCTTTCATCCCCAATCCACAAGCCTGTTATATGAAATCAGTTTTACATGCTAACCACGCCATTCCTTCAAGTCAGTTCTTAATCTCTGGAAAATACATCCCTACTAAATTTATTGGAAGCTGTTGCTCTGTACATGGGTAGATTTTAGCCTACAACATAGTAGCAAGAAATAAGGTTTACTCACAGGCAGGGGACAGAGTTTTCCATTGACCTTGACAAATAAATTAGGAGGGAAGTAATCTTCTTGGGGACAGCTGGTTTCACACAAGCAGAACCTACAAAGCAGGAGGGAGAAACTGGCAAGTGAGTGATGACACTCGCAAAAATGGCAGCCAAACTTCTCTTTAAAAAGAGAAAAACATTTTCCAAGCAGAACAGATCAACGGCTGGAAAGCACATAAGCAGATGAACAGCCCCACACACATCTACAAACGGGTTTCCAATCCTACGCACAGCAACACTGATACGAGAAATAAGTCACAGAAATGCCAGCAACTTAGAACAATCGCTAGCGTGCACGCAAGGGAGCGTGCCACAGGAAGGGCTAATTTTATTCAGCCCAGATGACAATCTAAGCTCTCCACAATCAAAATTTCAAAGGCAAACTGTACTTCCTGGCCTGACATCATTCCAAAAACGACAGAAACTGAGCTCCAGGTAGGCAAGCATTAGGGATGGCTACCCTGGGTGCCATTCAGGAAGACTGAGGACTGCCTTTCACTCTGGCCACCTTGCTGAAATTCCCATACAAGCAGCGACTGCAAAGCACGCTTTGCACCAGATGGTTTCTGCCCTTTAACCCAGGGACGGGCACATTCAGGTGCTACTTCACCTACAAATTCCACAGCACTTCAAGATCAAAGGAACTACACATATTTAAGTCACCTACCGCAATTTACAAGCACCCGAGGAATTAAAGTGTTACATTTGACCAAAAGTAAATCTTACAACGGGACAGGCTAGTTACTGCTTAGCAACACTTTCAAAATTCATCTGCCATCACTCAATATCTTACAGTTGCCTTCCTCGGCATAAAGATGTCAGCACCAGCAACCCAAGACGGGCTCTCGTTCAAATCCTGATCCCGTTTAATCAGATGATCGTGCGCTCTATTTTGTTTCAAGGGAGGGTGCTCTGCCAGAGAGACGACTCCCCACGCTGAAACCACAGTCCTGCCATGTAGTCATGAGTCAGACTGTGACCCTGGCCAGCTTTTTCTTCGCTGCAAGATCAAGCCCTGGCATGCCACACCGCTGCAGAGCCACACTACCAATGTTCTAGAAAAATAAATCCGATCTTATTGTTTTCTAACCTCTCTCTGCTTGCCAAATAAAACAAAGAATAAAACTGGGGATTAATCTTCTCTTTTCTTTCTTGCACAGGAATATGAGAATACTGCATATGCTGAAGCACATCAGCAGCTGGGCTGAGCGAGAAGAAACGATCCCACTATCATTTTTAACTCCTGCACTAAAGTTTGCTGAATATGGGTTATTTCTTCAGGTGAATGGATGCCCTCCGGACATCCCAGAAGATATATGGAGGCTCCCAGTATAACCCCGGTGGACTATTTTGTAAACGTTGCGTCCTCCCCAACGTCCAAAACATAGTAAGGGATGTACACACTGAAACTGGTCCTTCAAAAACACACATGGTGTTTTTCTGCATTCTGCTGCAGGAGATGGAGGAAGTCCATCTCCTGATTCATTTCAGGAACCAGGATGCCCCCGTGCTTCACTCTACCAGCTCTGTGCACAAGAGTGGAACAGATGGACACAGCAGGAAAACTGAGACTGTAAAGTCTCAAATCAGAGAGACACTGTCACAGGACAGAAATTAATATGGAATGCCTTCTTGAAAACCAACAAGCCCTCTTTTGAATTAAATCTTTCTGGTCTTTGGTTTCAAATTACCACTTTTCTTCAGGCTTCCAGAGAGAGTAACTAAAGCCCTGAACTCCTCGTTATGGTCAAAGCACTTTCTTCTAAGAGCAGAGCAATGACTCTCTGTCTCTTTGCCAAGTTCAAACCCCGATAATAAAATTTAACATATTTAAACTCTTCCAAGAGTTGAATGCTGGGCAAGAGTCCCCTCAGTTCCTGTTCAGTTGTGTAGGACAGTGTTGCTATGCTCTTAAATAGCCACCCTAGCACCGACTGCAAGGATCAGTGGATAAACTGTGAAGCACTTTCAAGTACTTTTCTGCTCAAGCACACGTTCTCCAACATATCTTGCATTTTTGTAAGTAATAACTAAGTGCACATTAAAAAATATTCAGGTTTTAAGGGAAGGTAGCTTTCACCTCTTACTCTGCCTTTTGCAATGATCCTGCAAAAAGGTAAAGATTTAAAATGGAAAATAGAAAGAAGCGAGCTCTACATAAACATGCAGAACTCTTGAGACAAAGACTCAATTCTACTGTACTTAAATTTTACAAAACTCCCATGCAAGTCCACAACAACTTGTGCCAGCAAAGTGCCGCACAGAGCGGCAAGAGAGAAGACAGTAGAAGCACTCAGCCTCACTGGTGTTCGCAGAGACCCAGTTGGTTTGGTATTTCACAATAAGGTTTATCAGAGGATGAAACCGCAGAGGATCACTCTCATATAGACACCAATGTTCATAACGCAGCAACGAACGTTGTAGAATCGTCTAAGCTCTTTAACATGCAATTTCAAACCAAATCAAACGCTAAAAGCATGATTCACCAAAAAGGACAATCCATGCACTAGCTCAGAGAAAAGAATTTAATGCATTCATCAAAAAGATACACAGACATCAGTCTTACCTTAATTGTACCTGTATAGTGTAATCGCACTTGGCACCTGGTAAGATATCCCTGCAACAGAAAAGGTGGGCTTAAGACTGTTGGCTGTGCTTCACAGGAAAGCTACAGCTACAACAGCATACAATTCCATTAAGTTATAGTGATATATGCTGGATATATTATGAATAAAACCAAGGCAGCTGAACTGTAAAAGCTACCATCTGGTTTCGGTAACACCTGTTCTATCTAGCACACAAAATTCCCAGACAAGGACACAAAGCAAAAGCCTATGAAACAGAAGAGAGAGCACAGCGGAAAAAAAGAGGAAATAAATTTCAGAGTTTCTTACTGCTGTTGAGTTTTAAGAATATAATGCCAGCTATAGTCTTGCCAATGCAAACAAACTATTGTGTTTGTAGGCACAGGTGGAGGATAGCTCTAAACGTTGGTATGAACCCGCATGTTTTTATCCCAGTTACCGTATTTTGTCTCTTAAGCACAATAATCCCACTCTGTAGGCTTTAGTCAGGTCCTTAACAGCTGTAAGCAGCACAGCACCGCTGACATCAAGAAACTCTGCGTTTTACATTGGCCAAACAACTGACTTGGCATTTTATTCTCACGCTGCCCTGGAGCAAAGAAATGTGAAGTGTGTAAGATTCAGTTCCTCCTCCTATTCCAACTGTACCTGACCTCCTCATCTGCCAGGCTCGCTCACCCAAACTGCCAATTTTTCCTCCTGCCTCCACTCTCCGTTCTGCCAGTACTGCAGGGGAAGAACACGAAGCCAGCAGGGAAGCCACATGCGACACACATCCTCCAGAGCGACATCAGGCATGCTGCCTCACTTACCGGGAGGTGAGGATCTGCTGAACTTGCTGAGGGGTTAGAGCAAAGGTGAAGTGAGCTTCTTCAAACCGTTGACTGTTTGTTGATGCTGAAGAAGAGAAATTAAGACAAAGTAAACCAGTCATCATTAAGTCGTTCTTAAAATAAGACATGTGTGTCTAGGTGTAAGTGAAGGACAGTGTCCAGCAAAAGCAGTATCAAGTCTTAGGTCATTCTTTCAAGGTAGACTAGCTGGTTACTGTTTCCATCGTTTTACATACAAGGAAAACTGCGGCATGGAAAGCATCAAGTAGCTTGTTCGAAACTGCGCAGAACGACAATGGCAAGGAATTCAAGAAACTTGTCCTCTTGCTCTCCTGTGACTAAACCAGCCTCCTGAGTACACAAAGAGCAACAAGGTGGATGGCACTTCCCAGGGACCAGGGGGCAGGTTGAGAAGAGTCTGTCATCAAATATGGAGCTAAGGGAATGCCAGAGGTCATGAGCTGCCCTTCTCTCCTTGATCCTGGGAAATATGCTCTAGAAGACCCTGCTTGAGCAGGGGGGTTGGACTAGATGATCTCCAGAGGTCCCTTCCAACCTCAACCATTCTGTGATTCTCCTCAGGCACATGGACAGAGTCACAGCTAATTTAGGAAAAAAAACAGCTATGCACTTGATTAAGAATAAACACCCAAGCAGAAACCCACGTAATAGGAGAAGCAAGGATTTTTAGCAAAAGTTAATGATAAGCACAAATAAAATTGTCTGGTACAGCACGCATAAAAATTAACCTGCATTACCAGGGTTTGCCTCTCTCTTACCCTGACCTTAAACAAGTTTTCTTTTGTGCCTCAGTTTCTCCATCTGTAAAACTGGGAAGTGTCTGCCTCCTTCACAAGAACTATGAACTAATTAACTTCTGCAAAGTATCAGTATCCTAGGATGAAGAACACTGAAGCTGTAAGATGGTTGCCAAGAGCCAATCTTGGGGGCATTCCAGACAAAAAGTGTCACTTGGCCTCTTCTGCACTCGTTTCTCCTCCTATCCTGAGCAACAGTAACTCCCACAGCTGTTATTGAGGATTCAGAGCATCTCTGGGACAAGACAAAACAAAGCAGAGCACACTTATCACAGTGGCACGTGCACACGCTGTGGCCGGTAGGTGAACGGCTGATGCAAATCTCACATTTTGCTGATTTACTCCAACCTAGGGCCTGGGCCATACTATAACACAGAGTGCTCTAGCATCCCATTCAGAAATACCTGCGATGAATCGGTCACAGCGTGGTTATCGGAGGCAATGACAGACCTGCAGAGGAGAACGTTAGCTTTGTTCGCTTTGCCACCTGCCTTTGGAGAGGAATACCCTGCTGCTGGCCTCCCCAAAAAGCACATTCAATCTCCTGCAAGAGCGGATTCCTCACTGGGGCGAGGGGTTTGCTTCTCCAGTCTCCTGCAGTTCAGGAATGTGAGGAATGTGAGGCCTGCAAGAGAGGAAGTTTCCTCGCAGATGACCTGCCAGATCCTCTGCAGGCCTCCAGCAGCAACAGGCTAGCAGCAGTGGCAGAAGGAACTGGAGAAATTTGGAGGGATTTTGACCATCTTAGGACTTGCTGCCTGAGCCTTTCACACCTTAACCGCAAAATGAGATCCTGATTCTTTTCCAAACAGCGCCAGTGTAAAGCCACTAAATACCAAAACGGTAATAACCAATCTCCTCCATTTTATAACTAGTGCTATAGCTATTGCTCAGTTAACAGCCACCATCTAAATCAGAGAGAAACAGGAACTTCTCCGAGATTCATCATTCACACAGCTACAAGTTTGATATAATACGAGGAGTGGAAAAGAGTCATAGCTCAAATATTCGGTAGTTACAGCAAACAGAAAGAGTGAACGGACTAAGAGACATTATCATTAATCCCTATGCCACCGTCTTTATCACACCATCAACCTAACCACACCTCTGCTTTCATTTTTCCTTCCCACATATTTGTTATTTTTAGGCATTTTTATGACATCACAGCCTTTATATCTGGATACTTGACAACTCTAAACAAATTGCCACAAATAATTAAAATAAAAAAAAACAGGAGTGATGCTCGCAAAGCTTAAGGGAGAAGAGGGAGAGATACAACCCACAGAAGCCAAAAATAAAAGAAAAAATCTGTGATCCTCAAGCACATTACATAAAAACGTTTCCAGTTCAAGCACCAACATATAAGGCAGAGAGTTTTATCAGGGGAGAGAGCTTTTTGGCACAGAGAAAAAAAAGATGATTTCTTTTGCAACAAGAGTATCCCGTTTCAGGGAAGAGGCTTAACCACAGGTTGAGAGATTTAAGTCAAACCTAAGAATATGCAATCTTAAAACAAAACAGTAACAAAACCAACCAGAAAAAAAGTCAATGGGTTTTGGTTGCACTACAGCCATACTTATCTCCACTTTAGCAAACATTACTGTGTTTACGTGAAAGAAAAATAAACCCTGAATCCAAGCTAAAACCATTTAAAAGGCATAAGATGGGTGGATCTCACTTAAAGAGGCCAGGAAGGCTCAACCTAAAATAAAAATACAGTCAGTACAAGACTATTCTAGGCTTGTACCAGACAAGGCTATTCTAGTTGTTTTCTTAAGCTTGAACTCTTACTTCTCCCACCAATTCCACCTGACTGCAAAGTCTCACCAAGTCCCTTTACTAAATCAGGTAGCGCCTCAGCGCATGTAGGGCCTATCAGAGGCTCAATTAACCTGCAAGCGACAAATGGAAAGAATAGCAAACATGCAGCAGGGCACTACATTCTCTGTGGCCTTAAGGGTTTTCCCTTTTTCCATACTCCTTTTCTGCTCTCATTCAAGACCTGTCCTTTCCTGCCCGTTTTTGAGCTGCCTCGCCAATGCAGACGAGAGTTTCTCATATTTGCAACCTGCACGCAGGACTGTAATGCATAAAACAGTTCATTACTCCTATCTATTGGAGGATTTTATGACTCTACTTTTGCTAATAATTAAGGCAGAATTAGACTTAACGGTGCCAGAGAATTTTTAAGAGGCTGTTTCGATGAGAGCTGTGACATCAATTGTTTGCAAAAAATAACACACCACTTTTCACTTTTCCAAAAGGGAATCCATGCCAATTTAACCAGGTTTTTACTCTCTCAGGATTAGCACCCAAATGCTGACATATCACAGAATAGGGAAAGCTCCCCAATTCAGACTCTGAAAAGAAAGCCTCAGGTTCTCAAACTGGCTCTTACCAGGTGAAAACAGCAAATAACCCAAAACTTTGTGCTCAATACACACTTAACAGAAAGAAGAAGCATGTCAGCTGAGAGAAATACCCTTTACCATGCAAATAAATTTGGAACAAGACTGAAAAGCAACTAAAAGCTTCCATTTCTGGCAGCCTGCTTGAAACGAGTTGAAGTCATCAGTCCAATTGTTATTTCAACTGTATTGTTACAAGCCAACACAATGAGAGACCCGGGCCCCCCTGCGGTTAGCATGTGTCGAGCCTTGCAGTTCGTATACCTGTAAACCGGAAGTCTTAGACTGAAACCCCACTTCCATCTGCATATCATTCTTTTGGATCCATGCTGATGGAAAGCAACCTGGCAGGCTTGTCTTATCTTACTGCTGCTCACGTCATTCCTATTCTGCTGAAGTAGTTTTAGGAATGCTCAAACCAATACATCTGAGGAAACAAAAGGATCCTCCAAAAACAAGGAGGACCAAGCAGTTTCGAACGTACCTAACGTGGTAGGTTTTATCAACTCATCATAAATGTCGTAGAAGGGCAGCCTCTTCATCTTGACATCTGGGTGGACTGGGTGGATGGGTGGCGATAAGTGCTGAACGTCTGTCTCGTGCTTGGGTCCCAGCATAGGCACGGGAGGCAGCATAGCTGCCGGCACCGCGGTCGCCGCTGAGCTGTGCTCATAGGGCAAATGACACACCGTGCCCTGAGTCAGTGCAGTGGCAGAGGGCAGCTGCCCTGCCTGAATGTGGAGCATTGACAAGTCTGAAGGGGTTAAGATCTTCCTTGGGAACCTCCGCCGGTACAGTTCTTTAATTTTCATCTGAACAGCCGGGCTGCAGCCAGATTTAAGCAGCTGTAATGCCTTTGTGAGCAGTTCGTGCTTCCTTCCACTTTTGTTCCTTCCAGCAAAGCCCAAGAGGACTTGTAATTCTGATACCCTAAAGCTCATAACCATGTGCTGCAAGAAAACAAAACAAAGCCCATTACAATTGCTACTTGAACAGATACAACCCAAAAACAAGCTACAGGTTCACTAAAGAAGATGCTAGGCAGAGGCCTTAAAAGAGGCACTGTCAAATTTGAAGTTCCCCTACCCGTGTCATCTAATAACTTGTCAGTAGCAGAATCATAAACATTTAGTTCTGTTTTTACTTTTAGATGCTTTGTGTGGATCTCGAAATGCAAAGGCTGCATTTACTTCCTGTTTCGAATCAATGTCTGCAGCAGCACTTACTGCTTTGCAGTTTCTGATATTCAAAGGACAGTTAAATTACCTTCCTTAAGCAAACGCTGACAACTTCATTTAGGGTCAATTTCTCATTTAAACTAAAGCCTTTGTATCTCTCCGGAAATTTAAAAGGGTCTAACGTTCTCATTTTAAGGCCTCGTCAGACTGGCTTAGAGAGGCCAAGCCCACGGTATGGCTGTGTATGTTTTCATTTGTTGTTTTTAGTCTTCAATTCAAAAGTGTAACTTTGGAATGCCCATTTTTGCCCATAAGGAAACGCATCCGACATCAAATCTGAAACCAGACCTCAGTGATTAGTCAGATAGGCTGCATTTAAACAAAAACGTACGTTAAGCATCACCTCTACATCTAGGCGGGCATTATTTATCAACCTGTCTCATTAAAGAGAGTCTCTCCAACCGCAACTTGCCAATTCTCACGACAGGTTCAACGAGTCCAACAGGGTTAAGTTGAAAGGATGCACAAAGAGTAGGAAGATAAAGAATTATTCCCATTTCACAGGAGGAAAAATAAAAAGGTCACAGAGACTTCTCCACAGTCATACAAGGCAAGTTAGTGGCAGACCCAGAAAATCAGCTCACGTCTCACAGCCATGCTCCAGTAACCTTGTCACAAAACCATCATTCGCCTGGATTCTTAATATGGCTTCAAAATTATTTGTTTACACAGATACGCCCATGGGATGACAAATAGTGCTATGGAAGCGTATATGCGTGTGTTTGTGTATATATACGCACACACACACACTTATGCATCTGTGTGTGTATATATTTTAGCAGAATGCAACAACCTTTTCTCTCATGTAAGTAAAAATTAGAATTGCACCAATCCAGAGACAAATCCAATTACACTTGCTCTTTTTCACACACACGCATACTCGCAAAAGGAGACTAAGGACAAGCAAACTTTCATCTCCAAATCAACGAATGACCCAAAATTACCAAGCGATGGCCTATATGAATAGCTGGTCGATGCCCATCCTGAAGTGGAGGCACGCCCCCTTCACATCAAGGGCATCACTCTTCTACTAACACTTTCAGGAGACGTATCTACGCTTAACACTACACTAAAAGGTATTGACCTTGTAAGATATCGTTGAATTCCACAAAGTTTTGAATAAATCTTTGATAGCTAAAGGGTTAAACCAGAAACCTAGTCACCTCCAACACTCTCCCTTTTAAATAAGAAAGGGCCCACACAGTTTCAACACCACTCTGCATCTAGAAAGATGTTTCCCTTTAGGCACCCAAAACAAAACCGATTCAACAAGAGTAGAATTGTTCTCAAATTAGTAACAATTTTGCAGGGTTTAAATCTGCGTGGATTGTTTCAGTTTCACAGAGAGGCCTTCTCCTCTGCGCTTCACCATCAAACTGCGCTAGGGGAGCCATCATCAATGGAGCACTAGGGGGCAGAGGGGGAAGGCTGGATTTTGTTATTCCAGAAATGCAAAAAGCCTGCATAAATAAAAGCCTGTTTCAATAAAATAAATGAGTGAATAAAGTCAAAACATCTTCATTTAAAAAGAAGGAATATTTTGTATTAGGGTTGATTTACAAACTAAACACAGCAGAGCGTATTCATTTGAGAATGGTCGATGGTAACATCTCAACTCTATATCTTACTGGTCAAATTTTCTAGAGTAACTTATAATTATAGACTGAAGAGAGTACACGGCACACCTCCATAACCTACAGGTCAAGTTTATTACATAGCTAGTTGATTCTGCTTTATATGACAAGAGAGTCCAAGGCAGTTTAACAAGCCCAGGATCACCCACCACCAAAAACGCAGCACCTCAGGAGGGCAATGTGACAGATGTTCCACTTCCCAGTGGGGAAAAAAAAAAAGGAAGGATTTGGTAAGGCTATCAAAGCAAACTCTGTCGTTACAAAAAGTGCCATGTGGCCTCTGATGTGAAACAGACTCAGCATCAGACGAAGGTCTCATATCGAAAAACGCGTGTCAAACACTGTAGCTTGCATGGGATTTGTCTGTTACCTTTGCTGGGTGACGTGTTCAAGAGAAAAATGATTTACACAGTATCGTAATTCCCTTTTTTCCCCTCTTACAGAGCCAAGATAACTTGTCAGAAGCAGGAAACCTCTGTCATTTAAGAGGAAAAGCTCAACGCGGGGACTCTCAACTTTGACAGTGACTGTTTTAAATACCTCAGAAAAAATATATGAAGGGTGCCCATTTACCAAATGTTCATCTTACAAACTCCCTCCCATTTCGATAACAGTATCAAACACTTTAAACAAGCATTTCATAGAAACTGACCTCTTCCCACACCCACTGCCCTAACAGGCACTCCTACAAATCCTCCGGACCGAATCCTTCACCTTGCAGGAGATTAGTGTAGCATGGCTCACCAGCACAAGATTCACATTTACCATTAAAAAACACGTTTATCCATGACATAGGATGGCTGTGTCACCACCACTGCAGCAACTGTGGACTCTTATCTGCACCTGAAGCCTCTCCGATTACTGCTCAAAGTTGCAGAGCAGTGGAAAAACTCTCTTACTGCCATAAGAGATCACATTTGAAAGCTCCCGGAGGGCATCTGAGGCCTGTTTAGTGACTGGATCCACAGAAGACTTGAATCCAGGCTGAAGAGCCTGACTGTACCATTGTCGAACAACAAAAGTCTACGAACCAAAAGCAGTATTTCTCTTTCCAGGGGAGTCACCACTTGGTCTTTTAAATAAAGGAAGGTGTCTAAGCCAACCACAGACTTTATAAGGAGAAACTGTTTCATTTTCAACTGGCTCGGTCTTGCTTTTACAATGAGATACAGATGGTAAAAATCTTAAACTCCTGGCTAGTAAACTAAAAAGGGCTTAGGGGAGATGGACAAGAGAATTCAGTTGCCGGAAGGGAGCACAGATTTAAAAATAAACTGAAGAGAGCCTTGAATAATGCCAGGCTCCAGAGAAAGGGCTGAAGTCTGGAAGACCACTAGAGGATCTCAGAGGTGGGCCAAACCTCAGAGAATGTAAACCTATGCGCTAAGCTTCATCTCTCCTTAAAACACAATTCCTCTGCAGTGATTTATCTGCAGAGGGAACAGAGTGGAAAATGCCAAGGACATTACACCCACTTTGCCCTCTGTATGTTGCACTCAGCTTTGCCATTTGCTAGCTATGGCCTGAAACTGCAGGATTACGCATGTGCTATTTTATAGTGCATATGATGAGTAGCCACACTGAGGGCAGCAGCACCGTTTACATGCATCCTGATGAACGCAACAGCGGGTCAAAGCGGGACCAGGGCCTGCGCCCCTGCGTTCATTCACCTGAGCCTGGGGACGTGGGTCTTTTTGCCATTAACACCTTGCCTGGAATGCTGGGAAACGGCACAAATAAAAAGCATTTCTGGAGCTCAAGTTCTGCGCTGTTCCAATTCACCCAATTACAATTATCGGATCCAATTTCTCCACAAATACTGTTAACATTTTGACACTTGATAGGGCTCCCATTGTAGTCATGCTTAGGTCACACAGAGTTTTAGGGGAAGGAGAACAATCACACCATAAAGCAGTATCAAAATTTGGACGGGCCGCTGCTGGAAAGATTACAGACACATACTAGCTCCAGAGAATTATGTTCTTGCTGTGGCTGGCTGCCAAGAAGGTGCCAGTTCCCAAATGTCTTACTATTCCCAGCAGAGGGAAGGGGGCAGGACTCTTAGGCCACTTCAGCCAGCTAAGATCTATATTCCAGCCTGTGGGAAAAAATATTAAACGCCAACAAGGACACAAATCAGCTTTGGAATTAGTTACCAGGGGCAATTTCATATTCCACAGTCTGGTGGGCAAAGGTGGTTACACACTCTGACTCCTAAAAACGAGAAAAAGAGAGTGGAGGGAGATGAAACCCCATCCAGCTGTGAGCACTGGTGCAGCACTACCATGTTACACGCTCTCCGCTCCCTCCTCCCCTACGAAACCCCAGGAGCATCTCGCAGCTCCCCGGCCCGCTATACCATCGTCTTGCCCCAAGATCTGCCTCAAGCTTCATCCCCTCTCCAGCCTACCGGTTATTTTCTGCGCTCTCCGCACTCCCCTACCTCATTCGAGGGTCTGAACTGCTCCGTTTCTTGGCTCTCCCTTCCTTCAGGTTTCTACTTCTTTTCTCTGAACCTCCGTCGCACGCCTGAGCCCCCCAAAATCTTCCAGCCCCCTCCTCTTTGCAAACAGCACGGGAGGTCGCTGCCTGATTCAGCAGCCTCATCCGCCGCTCAGCGTGCCGACGTCCAAAACCCGACCCCCTTTCCTACGTGACCCTCTCGCCCGGGCGGTCTCTGCGCCTGCCTCCGCAGGCGCCCGCCGCCCAGGCCCCCGCC